ATGTGTCTGGCACTGTGGCTACAAACGTGAACCTAGCTTTACTAAATATATAATTGAAGGAGACAGACATCATTCAAAATATTCCATAAATAAATATCACAAATAAATTCTAATTTGGAAGATATGATACAAGCTGAACACCAATGACTTGTGCCTTTTCTGTATGTATGTTAAACTTCATCCAGTGGACACAAATAACTATGAAATCTGCAAACTGGAGAGAACTTTACAAATCAACGAGTTCATTTTCCTCATTTTATAGATGAGGAACCAGAGTCCAGGAAAGCTACACAAATTGCTCTCTTTAGGAAGTTAACCATGTAAACCAACTGAGTTTTCTGTTGTTAGGCTATTAATCACTGATTTGACCCTGTCTTAACTCTCTGTTTACCTGACCCAGTCCCCCTTTATCCTACAATTCTTTATAGCTAGTTATTTGCTAATAACACCCACCATTGCAACCTGGCTCCATTTTAAAAATCTATTCATATCTCAGCTGTGTGTGGTGGCTCACGCCTGTAATCCTAGCACTGTGGGAGGCCAGGGAGGGCGGATCACAAGGTCATGGGTTCGAGACCAGCCTAACCAACATGGTGAAACCCCATGTCTACTAAAAATACAAAAATTAGCCAGGTGTGGTGGCGCTCACCTGTAATCCCAGCTTCTCAAAGGCTGAGGCAGGAGAATCACTTGAACCCGGGAGGCGGAGGTTGCAGTGAGTCGAGATCACGCCACTGCACTCCAGCCTGGGTGACAGAGGGAAACTCTGTCTCAGAAAAAAGAAAACCTATTCATATCTCAATTTAAAAGCCTACGAAGCTTCCTTCCACTGGCCCCACCCAAGTACTCTTCTCAGCACCATGTCGATCTGCACAATTTTCCCTAAACTTGTATATATTTTACAATTAAGCATACACTCAAGTAGAAAATGCATCACCTTACCACCCCTTATGCAGTGTCTCAGTGATTTCCTGTTATTCTAATGAATAACCAGTGCCATGGAGAAGTCATTCCATTTGGGGATCACTGCGCTGTGAGAATGCCTCTGAACATTCAAAACTCATGATGAAAGACAAAAGCTGAACCTGGAGTCAGAAAACCTATCCTTTATTTTACAAATATTCATACAGCATTTAGTAATAACAGACACTGCTCAAGGTATCTTATGAATATCAACTCATTTTTTGCAGATGAAGAAAAGGAAGCATAAAAAGATAAAATAACCTAAATAACGGAGCCAGGATTTGAACCCAGGGAATATGACTCCAGATCCACGCTCTTAACATGTACATCATGCTGCCTTAAAGTATAAGAGAATACAAAATTAAGCTTGATCACCTCTTAAATATGAATTCAGAAAAAAAAAAATATATATATATATATATATACACCTATCATAAAGGTTAAAAGATTCTAACTTTTCATTAAAAGTTGATTAAAATGGCCCAAGTTACGATTGTCAAAGATGTCTAATCCCACTCTCACCCTAAAAAATATGCCAAGAGGTACCTATTAATTCACAAAACAGTGTTAAATGACACCTGGGGCTTCTACACTGTAGCTCCTATTATCATTTCCTGCTTCCTTTAGGAACACATTATTATTGTGCTTTCTGCCAGCCTCTCAAATAATATGGTCTTCCTGTCTCATTTTTCCAAATCCTTAAATAGCTTCTATCTGGTTGTGAGGCTTGGTCCTAATACAAATGTCACATCTGGCCTCTTGAACACTTTCATCAGCTTCACCTTGAAGCCATATTCATGCTAAAGGTCAAGAAAAGATGCCCGGTTATGCACAAATCCACCCTCACCAGCAAGTAATGCCGGCTGCAAAACAGATCCATGTGCAACACAAGACAGATGACAGCTGCAAGCTGAATGTGAGGGTAATCGGGGTAATCACTAGCCCACTGGGTAGAACTCTGAAACTCTGTAAAAGGACATACTGACACAATTTCAAATAATATGACACTGCTTTGAATGGAGGGTAGCAAATGTAAGAAGCAGACCATTCTCAGTTGCTCCTTGCTGGCACTGTCAGGTGGCTACCAGGGCAAAGGCAGAGGTAGGAAGAATGTTTTTCCTCCTTGAGTAAGGTGCAGCTGGCCATGTTTTTTTTTTACTAAAGATAGTGCCAAAGTTGCAGAGACATCTACAGAGGAAAGCAAAATCATTTCTAAATATTAAAGCCCATGTAAAGGCCAGGCATGGTGGCCCAAGCCTGTAATCCCAGCACTTTGGGAGGCTGAAGTAGGCAGATCACTTGAGGTCAGGAGTTTGAGACCAGCCTGGCCAATGTGGTGAAATCCCATCTCCAGTAAAAACACAAAAATTAGCTGGGCATGGTGGCATGCACCTGTAGTCCCAGCTACTCAGGAGGCTAAGGCAAGAGAATTGCTTGAACCCAGGGGACGGAGGTTGCAGTGAGCTGAAATAATGCCACTGCACTCTGGCCTGGGTGACAGAGTGAAACTTTGTCCAAAAAGAAAATAAGGCAGCCCATGTGATATAAAATTGTACACCAAAAAGGATTTTTAAACTTAAGATGTTAAGTTTATTAAAACTTTATTGACAGTTTAGCAACTATTACCTGTGGGCCAAACCAAGCCAGCAGCCTGTTTTTGTATACCCCTTAAGGAAAGAATGGTTTTTACATTTTAAAGGGAAGTAAAAATAAATAAGAACAAAAACTATTTGTGGGCACAAGGCCTAAAATATTAATTATCTGACCCTTTACTGAAAAAATTTGCAGATCCCTATGAAACATGCATTCGAAGAGTTAAGATTTAATTCATCCATAGAGGTTTGGATACAAATTTAAAAAAAAAAAATCAATGGCATTCAATAGCATTCTCCAGACAAACGGGTGAGCCATGCTACAAGTCTGGGCCTAGTTACTGATGTCTACTTACACTCCTTTGGCTCTTACTGTCCACCCACTTCAGTTAGAAACTAGAAAAATATTTGGTAGGGGATAAAAAGTGAAACTGGCTTTGTTATTTTTCAGGACAACATATATTGATATATATTATCTATTTTGACTCTCCCAAATCATGTAGCTAGCAAACATCACATTCTTTTAGATGAAGACACCCATTATTTATCATTTATTCTATCACAACCACCAAACTCAACACTTTACACACATGTAAAATTTCATTTAGTGTCTTCCATATAAGCTCCCTAAGGGCTGGAATTTATTGTCTGCTTTGTTCACTATCAAATCCCCAATACCCAGAATAGGGTCTGGCATTTTATGGGTGCTCAATAAATTTATGATTATTAATGAACCCTCACAAGAAAAGCTAATTAGTATTACTCATATGCAGAAAATGAGGCTCAGAGAGATGAATAACTTGGCCTACTCAATAGTGTCAAAGCTAGAACTTGAACTCAGGCATTCTGACTTTACAGTCTAAGTGAAGCCCTATGCTTCCATACAGATATGTGCCAATGGAATGTCTAACTTTCGTTGGACTATTAAAATGTGAACTATAATGCTTCTGTTATTGCAACTAGCAGTGCCAGTTTTAAATTGCCTATTCTCAGATGATCCATGTGCTACAGGAAAACACACAACTCAATGTCTTCATGTACTCACTCTAGCAAAAGTGTCACTCTTCTAAGAAGTGCAATGTCATTTTGTCATAGATATTAAAAGTTTTCGTAAAAGAAAATATAAGTGCAAAACTCTGACAGTCAAGTCTTTTTCATTTTTAAAGAAAAATTTCGGTCAGGCACGGTGGCTCACGCCTGTAATCCCAGCACCTGGCAGGCCGAGGTGGGCGGATCACGAGGTCAGGAGATGGAGACCATCCTGGCTAACACGGTGACACCCCATCTCTACTAAAAATAAAAAAAATAGCCGGGCGTGGTGGCGGGCGCCTGTAGTCCCAGCTACTCGTGAGGGTGAGGCAGGAGGACGGCATGAATCTGGGAGGCGGAGTTTGCAGTGAGCCAAGATCCTGCCACTGCACTCCAGCCTGAGCGACAGAGCGAGACTCCGTCTCAAAAAAAAAAAAAAAAAAAAAAAAAAAAAAAAAAAAAAACTTTATGCAACTAAGTGACTTAAGTTCTGCAAATTAGAAGTCAAAGGGGGAAAAAAGTCCAAAAAGAATATATGCTTTTGACAGCTACAAATAACAAAAAACCTGCCAGTGATCTTCATACAGAAATACTTACCTGTACACACAGCAAGTGCTCAATAAAAATGCTTTTCAGAAGAAATGAAAATGAGACAAAGCCTTTCTTGGGTTTTACAAACCTTCTTGGTTTGTATACTAGAAAGTGCTACACGAAAAAAAGCAAGAAGTAACTCTCATGAAAATGCCTCTGGACGGAATGAAAACCCTGAGAGGGCTCCCATAGTGTGACAGCAGGAAGGAAAACAATAAACAGCTGGAACACCAGACATAGTCTTTTCAGCAAACTAAGGAAATGAGAAATTTCCTGCCATCTTCAATCTACACCTATGGTAGATATCCGATGCTCCATCCCATCCCACCCGAAAAAGCTAGCACGGAGAAAATGTCAAAAAGGCCAGTTTAATTTAGAGTGGCAGCTGCTTCTAATTTAGAGGGTCTCCGGGGCGGCCCGGCAGCCCAATGCGCTATAGCTCCCGGAAAGCAGCGGGGTAATCCAGGGCCAGGTAAAGCAGAAGCCTTAGCCCCACCCCAGCCCCAGATTCAAACTCTGGAGGCGGGGCCAGGATGAACATGTTTTTAGCCACACCTCCAGACGGTGCTTCAGCCCGCTCAAGTTCAAAAACTACCGTTTCAGCTGCATTTAGGGCAAGGGGAGGCTGGAAAGTCGCCCAAAACGAAAATGAATGAGAGGCAGAAGTTGTTAATACCATATACCTGGGCAGGTGCTAACTGCACGCCGACCCGACTGCAGCGCGGGAATGGAAGGAGGAAACGGGAGATTTGAAAAGATTCCCCCGCCTCTAGAAACTGGGCGACCCGTGCCCTCGCGACCACCCCCTCGAGGCTCCGTCTTTACCAACGCGAGCAGCGCAGCAGCTTCTCCAGACGGTCGAGCGCGGCGCGACTGTGGGCCCAGGCCCCGCGACCATCTGGCTCCATGGCAGGCGCGGAAGGAGGCTCGTTCCCGGAGCGGACCCTCGGCTGCCGGTTCCTCCGCTGCTGATTATCCGGCATCGCCCCGCCTTCGGGCGAAAGGCTCCTCGGGGAACGGGAGGCAAGGAGGTCTCGGGAAACCACAGGGAAGTTGCCGGCCAGCAACTCGAAGCCGGCCGAGATCTTCCCGCGTCTGGGACGGCGGGCCGCCAGAGGGGCGGGGCGCGCGGGGCAGGGCGGGGCACGGCGGCCGAAATGCTCCCAAACTAGGGACGCTCGGGGCACAAGGGCGGGGCCACGAGAGCCAGCCGCTGGCCGAGTGGGCGGGGCCTAGGGTTGGGGCTGGAGGCTGAAATTTGCCAAAGTCCCGGCGCGTGGGGCTCAGGGGCGGGGCCACGAGAGCCGTGGGACTGAGGAGGCGGGGCCGTAGGACTGAAACTTGCCAAAGTCCCGGCGCGCGGGTCCTAGGGGCGGAGCGGCGAGAACACGCCGCAGGACAGAGGGGGCGGGGCCTGGGGGCGGGACAAGATGGGGAAACCGAAGTCCCGGCGCGCCGGGCCCAGGGGCGGGGCCTGGGGGCCTGGGGTCAGGACAGGAAGGCTGAAACCGTGATCCCGGCGCGCGGGCCCCGGGGCGAGGCCGCCAGCGCACGCCGCTTGACCGAAGGGGCGGGGCCTGAGGGCGGGGCCGCAGTCGCTAGGCTGATGTTGGCGGGAGAGCTGGCGGGACCTGAAGCCGCTCTGGGCTGCCTGGAGGGATGAAGTCCAGGTGGAAAGTCATTCGCCGTTGCCCGGGGTTATGACTCCAGGGACCCTCATCCGAACTTAATCGTTGGAACAGTGACCAACCCAGAAACTTAGTTGAGTGTTATTTATAAAAAGCGCTGTTTTGACTACTGTTGAACTTGGAAGAGCTTTGCCCACGATACTGAAGGTACCACTCTCTTTGTTCCTAAGAAGGCAACCTTTTGTTTCCTCTCACCCCACCTGTGGCGTATATTGTAACTGAGTAAAAATAAGAAAAGTTTGTATCTAATTCTAACTGGTTACAAATATCAGCTCAAAGGCATGTTTGAAAAGATCTGGTTTACTTTTAAAATATGACTGGTATAAAATTTCAAAAAAAAAATTTTTTTTTGTTGTTTTGTTTTGTTAGAGAGTGTGTTCACCTTCCTCCTCCGGATCTTTCACTGATTACAGTAAGACCTACAGAGCAACTCGTCATGCCTCCCTGCCGCCCCCCGACTTTATTTCCAAGTCCTAGCATTTTTCCCCCTATCTTGTCTCGAATGCACCCATTTTCTCTCCGTCTCTGCTCCACAGCATCCTCAGTTGCCTCATCCTCGCCTGGTTTCCTGTCGTAGCTTTCTATCTGGTATCCAAGTGTCTATCCAGGTCCTAGCCAGTTCCAAGACTGCGGTGTGGCCGCCTAAAACATTTCCAAACACAAAACTCATCGTGGCACTTCCCTTCCTTAAAGCTCTTTAAGTTTTTCGCTGCTCTTTGACTAGCCTCTTGTCAAAACCTCCTCTGGCCATCATGGTCCCAACACCACAGTGCGTTCCCTTAGGTCATTAAAAGCCCCTGCACCTTGTTGCCTATGGCTTTTGCACAAAGATTCACTTTGGAACCTGGAATTGTCCTCCTCTCCATTCCTCATCCTTCAGAATACAGTTCAAATATCACTCCTTAAAGCTTTCCGTAGTTCCTAGACTAGATTCTCTCAGGTGCATCATATCACCTGTGTATGTAGATACACACACACACCATTATGTGCGTGTCCCCTTCTAGTTCAAAACCTCCAAAAGGCCAGAGACTGGCTGCATGTGACTCATTTCCCAATATAGCTTCATGTGGCACATGCAGTGCTTGGCTCCAAGCAGGTGCTCGGTGTTTGTTGAATAATTGGACTACCGCTACCCAAGCCAGACCCCGGCTTTAAGTGCTTTCGGGACCCTATGAAATGGGCATTAGTATCTGTTGTGTCACCCCCAAATTCATATGTCAAAAGCTGTAACCCCAGCGTGATGGTATTTGGAGGAGGCCTTTGGGAGGTAATTAGATTTAGGTGGGGTTATGAGGGCAGAGGCCCTATGATGGAATTAATGACCTTGTAAGAAGAGAGAGTTCTCTCTCTCTCCCCCACGTGAGGACACAGCGAGAATGCAAAAGAAGAGGGCCCTCCCCAAAACCCAGTCATACTGGCACCCTAATCTCAGACTTCTAGCCTCCAGAAATACGACAAATCTCTGTTGCTTAAGCCATCTAGATTATAGTATTTTGTTGTAACAACTAAGTGCTTTCTAGTAAGAGGAGGCAGGTGTGGCTCAGAGATCTTAATTTACTTGCCCAAGGGGCTCAGCACATGCCTGTAGTCCTAGCTACTTGGGAGCCTGAGGCAGGAGAATCACTTCAGCCCTGGAGTTCAAGGCCAGCCTAGGCAACATAGCAAGACCCCCATCTTTAAAGAAAAATAAGATTTGTAAAAAGAAAAGCATACTTGCCCAGGATGGAGGCACAGATAAGAACAGTGGCAGAATATTAACCCAGATCTTTTTGATTAGTAATGGACCCAGTAAATTATGTTTTTGGTCTTTTGGGGGATTTTTTGAGACAAGGTCTCACTCTGTTGCCCAGGCTGCAGTACAGTGGTACGATCTCAGCTCACTGCAGCTTCGAACTCCTGGGCTCAAGTGTCCCTCCCACCTCAGCCTCCTGAGTAGCTGGGCACTGTGCAGGCGCACCCCACCATGCCTGGCTAATTTTTTTAAATTATTTGTAGAGACAGGGTCTCTCTATGTTGGCCAGGCTGCTCTAGAACTCCTGGCCTCAAGCAATTCTTCCGCCTCAGCCTCCCAAAATGCTGGGATTACAGGTGTGAGCCACTGTGCCTTGTAGCTCCACTGAATTATGAAAGCTCAAGGAGTTTAAATGACTTGGCCAAAATCACACACTTGGTTAGAGTAAGCACAGCTAAATAAGGCTTTATTAAGTGTTTTAACTAAAACAATGATAGCACACAAATGAACCAATATTTAAAAAAAAAAAAAAAAAAACTCAGAGGCACCTAAGAGGTTAATCCTTATTAGTCCTGTTAAGCCATTGCTTATTCTTTGTTGAGTGTGGGAGAAATCCAATTCTAGAAAACTTAAAATGGGTCGGGCGCGGTGGCTCACACCTATAATCCCAGCACTTTGGGAGGCCAAGACAGGTGGATCACTTGAGGTCAGGAGTTCTAGGCCAGCCTGGCTAACATAGTGAAACCCCGTCTCTACTAAAAATATAAAAATTAGCCAGGTGTGGTGGCATGTGCCTGTAATCCCAGTTACTTGGGAGACTGAGGCAGAAAGATAGCTTGAACCCAGGAGGTGAAGGTTGCAGTGAGGCGAGATTGTGTCACTGCACTCCACCCTGGGCAACAGAGCAAGACTGTCTCAAAGAAAAAAAAAGAAAGAAAGAAAGAAAGAAAAAGAAACAAAGAAAGAAAGAGAACTTAAAATGTTAAAACCTGGAGCTATACTATGGTGTTAATGGAGTAAACTGAGGATTTCAGGAGACAGATTGTTCCACTTCTAATCTCACTTTCACTAAATAATTGAGTGATTTAAACCAAGCCTTAAGCTGTCTGAGCATTAGTTTCCTTGTCTGCAAAATGGGGATAATATTTATCAGATAGATTTGGAGGACTATTAAATAAAATGTAAGAGGATTATTAAATAAAATGTAAAATCAGATACACCATAAGTACTCAATAAATGGTAACTGATTGAGGATGATTATTTATAATCAGTACTATTAATGTTTCATCTACTAAAGAATAACACTGAACATTATAATCAACGAGTCTTTCTCTGTCACCCAGGCAGGAGTGCAGTGGCACAATCTCAGCTCAGTGCAACCTCTGCCTCCTGGGTTCAAGGGGTTCAAGCAATTCTAACGCCTCACCCTCCCGAGTGGCTGGGGCTACAGGCGTGCGCCACTACACTTAGGGCATAATTTAACTGTGATGAGAGTAAATGAAAATTTCACATTTTGGTAAAATGCTTTGGGACCAGACATTTATAATTGGTGTATTCATACCATGCTATTAAATGAATTATGATGCAGATACAATGAGTTCTTTCTACTGTCAGTTTCCTTTCTTCCTTTCTTCTGCCATTGTCCTGTTCCCTCTCCCCAAGGGTCATGACATTCGTGGCAGCTGTTTAATAGTGGCCATAATGAAACTCATACAGAGAATAAGCAGGTTTACTCTCCCATGTGCAACTTCCCCTTCCATTTTCTTCCTTCTAGCCTTGCTCTTCTACAGCTTAGCTTGCTGGTGCTTTGCTTTTAGTGGAGATGAGATGTTTGTTTTGAACCAACTCTTCCTCTTAACCCTGGATCCTGAGTTTCAAGGGCAAATTCCTTCTCCCATGGGGTACACCAACAATGTGTAACATCCTGGAATTCTTGTCCCAGAGAAAAAGTTCTGCAGGTAACTCCAGCCATCAGCAGGGTCTCAGTAAAGCCGTGGTTTAGGACATGAACGATGACCTCTTGTCATTTTGAAAAGTACTAAATGGTATCCTTTCTTTTTCAGAGTTTTCCCTGCAAGGACCTCCTGTGTACATAAAAGTTTAGTCTTGTTTCTCCGTTTTATTTCCGTGACGTAGTAATTAAGTATACAGTGATTTGGAGTCAAGTGGAACTAAATTATAATCCTAGCCTTGCCATTTCCTAAAATTTTGTCCATTATGTAACCCATCTTGGAACTTAGTTTCTTCTTTTGTAAATTTAGGATTAATGTATATCAGTCACATACTCAAAGGATTGTGGTGAGAAAGGAATTACAGTTTATGAAACTGTCCTAAACCAGAAGTGCAGCACAACCAATGGACATCCCTTTGCAATGTACTGTCCTAAACTTTAATATATATATTAAAGCTTAAAACACAGTAAGTGCACAACATATTTTTCCATTTTTAGGACTGGCATTATTGAGTTGCATGAAGCCAGCTACACTTGCTTATGATTTATCCTCTGAAAGAGTACGTATTCTAAGCCAGGAACCACTTATTCTGTGGCTATTGGAACAGAGATACTTACAGTAGCAATTCCTATGCAAATATAATGCAATAACCTTGAAAGGAAGCTTAAATCATATTTACTGATTATAATCTATTTTAGTATCATCTCAGATAAAGTATCCACCTGATTCCCAACACCATCGTTGGTATAATATTAGGATGTGACAATGAAAATGTTTATAATTTTGTTTCATTAGCTTAAAGATCTTTTATTTACATCATTTTGTTGCTCATTTAAGAACAAGAAAAGCCTAAGCAATTAAAAACAATAATTTTGTCCTATATACTAGAGACAGCGTATATGAAGCAAACAAACCACCCATGAATATCATCATGATTAATGCGTATTTCAATCAGTTCGATTGTGTGTATATGTATTGATCAACTTATTGGCTGCAGTGTACTATACTGAACCGTTTTAGCATGCCACAGTCTCTTTGACTAGTATATACAAACTCAGTCCCTATGTCATGTACACCTTGGCATTTGGTTTAGAATTACCCAAGTCTCTAGGAGCATCTAGATGTTTTAAGATTGTTTTTGAAAGGATGTTAACTCCATTCTTGTGGACACCTGCCAAATTTCTGTCGCAGGCTTAAAAGTAACAAGTCTAAGGACATACTTACATTACTATGACCCTACAGTAGTTGTTTTAAAGGTTTTGGTATCTTCTGTACTTCCTGATCATTTATCAAATTCAATCTGACACAGATATTTCACTGGTCATTGTTTTTTGTTCAATAGACTTCAGAGTTCAGCCCATTCCACTGCCTTTTATTGCTTGCTATTTTTAAGGAGACACCTCAGTAGAAATCCCGTTTTTCTGTACAGTGTAATTACTGAAGCACATAAAGTGGTTATAACA